AAGGCACATATTTCATTATTTTTCTCTCATTCACACGAGTAATCATTGTGTATATAAAACATTCCCTTTATCACATTCATCAGTTGATGGACATTTAGATTTTCCATAATTTGGCTAGTTACTTAGAGAGTGCTTGCTATGAACATTGGGGTACAAGTGCCCCTATGCATCGAGCTTCCTGTGTCCCTTGGATAAATTAGAGTGCTATTGCTGGGTCATAGGTAGGTCTATTTTATTTTCTGAGGAACCTCCACACTGCTTTCTCCTGGGAGCTGGCTGCACCATTGCATCCACCAACAGTAAAGAGGGTTCCCTCCAACATCTCTCCAGCATCATAGTCTCCCGATTTTATTGGCCACTCTCACCGGCTCATGGAGGTGTACTGAGGTGGTTTTTGATTTGTATTTCCTGATGTGAGCGACGCTGAACATCTTTTCAGTGCCTGTTGGCTGTCATCCGATGTTCTCTTTAGAGAAGTGTCTATTCATGGCCCATTTCTTCACTGGGTTATTTGCTTTTCGGGTGGCTCCACAGATTTTTAAAATCTAGCATCTAGTGTTGTTCAGAAATCCAAAACTCATTCAGGTTCTTAATTATTTCATGTGATCTATTTAATCTCTTTGGAAGCTTTTAGAATTTATCTTTATAATATGCTAATATTTCAAGTAGAGATAGCATGATGTTGATTTTATTCTTTCATTTGGGCACTCACTGAGACATTTCATTCTGGAAACAAAAATCTCTGAAATTTTCTTGTATTATTTTCTTGATTATTCTATGTTGTCTTCTCTATTCTCTGTGTTTCAAACTTTGAATGTTTGCTTTTTTTTTTTTTTAATGTTTATTTTGAGAGAGAGAGAGAGAGATCTCCCACATGTTTGCTCAAGCCAGGAAGGGGAAGAGAAAGAGAAAGAGAATCCCAAGCAGGCTCTGCACTGCCAGGGCAGAGCCCAATGCAGGGCTTGAACCCACGAACAGTGAGATCATGACCTGAGCCTAAACCAAGAGTCAGACGCTTAACCAACTGAGCCACCCTGATGCCCCTGTTCACTTTTTATTTCTAGTGTCTGGCACCATGTCTGACACATTTAATGGGCTCATTAACTTTTTTGAATGATTGAACACTCATAATTCAGATCTTAAATTTCTTGTCTTAGCTCTAGAATTATTTTTTTCTTTTTTTTATTATACTTTCTGTGAGAATTTATTAAGTTCTAATTCTCATTAATTTTTATAAAAGATTTTTCTTTCAATATTTTTTCTGACATTATTCTCTTATGAGATATGTATTATATATTTTTGGAAGCATTCTTCTTTTGAATTTTTCTCCATTGGTTGTCTTTCCTGAGTTTTTTTTTTTTTCCTTTGTCCATTTTAATCTCTCATGTTTAAGATTTTCCTGAAACTACTAGTGATTTAAGGCTGTCTGCCCATATAAAACTGTGGTATTAAAAAGCTGATATGAGGGTGCCTGGGTGGTTCAGTCAGTTAAGCATCGGACTCTTGATTTCCTCTCAGGTCATGATCACACAGTTCATAGGCTTGAGCTGTGCATCAGGCTCCACTCTGACAGCACAGAGCCTGATTGGGATTCTGTCTCCCTCTCTCTGCCCTGCTTGCACACACTCTCTAAAAATAAAAACTTTTTTTTAAATTAAAATATATATTTTTAAAAAGCTGGCTTGACCTCTCATTTGTGTCTGAAGAAGTGTATATTTATTGGTGGTAGTTACTGTAGAGTGATCTTCCTAGAACAGTTCGTTGGCTGATACCACCTATCAGATATTTTCTCTTGGACTGGTTTTCTCCAGAATTGAATCCTCTACTTTCTTTCTGGGAGTCAGTAAAATGAGCTTGACTGCCAGATTCTGAAAGTTTACTGAGTCGTATGTATCAGGTGTATGGGGTAGGTTTGAGATTCTGGGGTCTGTTTCGTACAGATTTCAATTAATCTTAACTTTTTGCAGCCCCTCCTGCACCCTGCTTTCAAAGGTACCTGTTGATTGCAGTTCTTAGAAATAATGATTCTACAATAAGACTAATCTATAACCTGAGTTTCAGTGTGTTTATGGTTAACAAATTATTTGTTACCATTACATCTACGGTGGCTTCAAAAATTTTGTTGCTGCTCTTTCCTCTCCTATTCTTTGTCTTTGTGGAGTTTCTTCTTTCATTTAATCTCATCACTATCACTTTGGTGGGACTTCATGAAGGAACAGTAATAAATGCATATATTCACTGTGCTGTGTTTGAAAAGAGTGTGTCCTTCTAGAGGAATTTTTTAAGGAGTATACATTTAAATACTTGCTTATTGAGTCAGTTAATAAATATTTGTTGATCTTCCAGTATATACCAGATACTGTGCTTAGAGTTAGGTACACACTGATGAAGACTATGGACATTTCCTTCACAGAACTTAACACCTATTCAGTGAAAAAGATAGTAGTGAAGCTAAGTCAATATATAATTACAAATTATGAAAATCCTGTTAAGGAGGACAACAGAGTGCTTAAAGTGTGACTACAAGGAGAGTATAATTTGGTCATGCAGCCAGGAAAGGCCTCAAAAAGTATGACCTTTAAGTGCAGATTTGGAAAATGGGCAATAGTTACCAAGGCCAAGAGTAAACAACAACAATAAAACCACCTACTAGACATAAGGAAAAGTACCTGGAAAGACTATTAAGAGGGACTAAAAACTGAGAGCATTTGAAGAACTGCAAAATAGGGCCAGCGTGGATGGAGCTTAGCAACCAAAAGGGAGCATAGCCTGAGATTTGTCTGAAGAGGCAGGCAGCAATTAGATCATTCAGAGCTTTGTATACCTTGTTCGAGTTTGGCTTTTGTTGTAAGAGAACTGCCATTAAGGATGGATTCAAGATTGCCTACCTCAGGTGGGGAAACTAGGTAAGAAAGACACTATCCTGATAGTTCAAAGAGATACATGTATTAGATATTGAAGATAGGAGGAAGAGTGTTAAGATATATTTAGGAGCAAGATTAGGCAGTATTTGCTGAATAATTATATGAGAGAAAGAGAAAAGATGGTACTAGAATACTTTTCACTTTTTTGGCTTGAGATTTTCCCATAGTGTGGTCTTCAAAACACTGCACTTGCCTAATATCCCCATTTTAATATAGAAATTCTTTTGTATTATCTCTCAAATATTAAACATTTATGCCAAATACTTCTCATATATTATTTACAGTTCCCCCAATGATTATAAGAGTAGACAGAGAATTGAGGGCTAAGAAAAATGAACTACTTTGCCCAAGAAAACAAAGCTTGTAATTAGCTGTGTGTTCAAAAATTCACAACTGATTCTGGTAACTGATTGTTCAATAGCAGAACACTGCTTTTATATCCTCTACCTTCTCTTTAAACCTACAAATGCTCTTCCTGTCAGTTGGTCATCACTACTATAGTGTTTATGTTCTTTTTAAGTCCTTTCCTCTTTTCTCCTAAGATCAGCATCACAGAGTTCCAAGCCAAAAAGTGTTTTTATCAAACTCCAAACATATTCCATATTTAGCCACAAAAGAATCCTCACTGTCTGCCATTCATGCTATATTTATTCATTCCTGCCATCTGGATTGCCACTCTCAATTTCCTTATTTGTTAAATTTTTTTTTTTCAACATTTATTTATTTTTGGGACAGAGAGAGACAGAGCATGAACGGGGGAGGGGCAGAGAGAGGGAGACACAGAATCCGAAACAGGCTCCAGGCTCTGAGCTGTCAGCCCAGAGCCCGACGCGGGGCTCGAACTCACGGACCACGAGATCGTGACCTGGCTGAAGTCAGACGCTTAACCGACTGCGCCACCCAGGCGCCCCCCAATTTCCTTATTTGTTAAAGAGACCCTGGGTTTCCAGTTACAGAATTGAGGACAGTGCTGTCTAATAAAACTTTCAGTGATGATGTGGAAATGTTCTATGTTATTTCCAACACTAACCACAATTGGCTATTGAACACTGGAAATTACAGTGCTATTGAATTAAATTTGAATTTTTATATAATTTTAATTATGTTAAATTTAAATAGATACATATGCTCATGGATACTGTAATGGACAACATAGATCTAACTGGGAACTGGCAAACCATTTTCCTAAAAGGCCAGATAATAAATATCTTAAATTTATAGTCGATGTGGTCTCTGTTGCAACTACTCACTTCTGCCATTGTAGCTCAAAAGCAGTCATAGACAATATGTAAACAAATAAGTGTAGCTATGTTCCAATAAAACTTTACTTAGAAAAATTGTTACAGTGCTGCAGGCCATAGTTTGCCAACCTCTGGGAATGTTATCTTATACTCATTTAATCCTGATAATAACTCTATTAAGTAGGTAATCATTTCCCTTATTTTATAGTTCATGTTGTGGGGTGCTCTCACAGGTATGTGTGCATATGCTCTGAATTTTTGTATGTGTATTTATGATTAGAGTCATTTTGTAACAAGGGAGATAAGACTAAGTTTTCTGTATGTTCAGCAAGCTCCCCTAAATAATTCTGATCAATAGCAATGTTTGGAAATCATTGGCTTACTTACTGCCCTCATCTTACTATATGATCTGTCCTTATTCTCATCTATTTTTTTTTCAAGTTTGGTTTAATTCTCCCATTTTAACTGAAGTTTTATTTCTCCCAAACAAAAAATATGAGTGATTACTTTCATATTTTCTTTCAGTCCTAGAATCAAGATGTGAGACCAAGAAATTATTTCTGAAGAAGGAGATTTATGAAATAGAGTCAGCGCAGTGGGAGTTAATGGAAAGACTTACAAGACATGACCTTCAGTGCTCTAGTTTCAGAGATGATTGGGAATGTAATGGCCAGTTTGAGAAACAACATGGCTCTCAGGAGCGACACTTTGGTCAACTGATATTCACCCATGAAGGCATGCCTACATTCAGTCAGCATCCATCCTTTACATTACAGCAAATCATCAATAATAAAGAGAAATACTGTGGAACTAAGGAATATAGGAAAGCCTTTAGACATGACTCACAGCTTACTACACATCAAATAATTCATACCATTGAGAAGCCCTATGAATGTAAGGAATGTGGAAAAGCCTTTAGACATCCCTCAAGACTCAGTCATCATCAAAAAATTCATACTGGCAAGAAACCCTTTGAATGTAAAGAATGTGGGAAAACATTTATTTGTGGTTCAGACCTTACTCGACATCACAGAATTCACACTGGTGAGAAACCCTACGAATGTAAGGAATGTGGAAAGGCCTTTAGTAGTGGCTCAAACTTCACTCGACATCAGAGGATTCACACTGGTGAAAAGCCCTATGAATGTAAAGAATGTGGGAAGGCCTTTAGTAGTGGCTCAAACTTTACTCAACATCAAAGAATTCATACAGGGGAGAAACCCTATGAATGTAAGGAATGTGGCAATGCCTTTAGTCAGAGCTCACAACTTATCAAACATCAGAGAATTCATACAGGTGAGAAGCCCTATGAATGTAAGGAATGTGAAAAGGCTTTTCGTTCTGGTTCAGATCTTACTAGACATCAGAGAATTCATACTGGTGAGAAGCCCTATGAGTGTAAGATATGTGGGAAAGCCTATTCTCAGAGTTCACAACTTATTAGTCATCATAGAATTCATACTGGTGAGAAACCCTACGAATATAGAGAATGTGGGAAGACATTTAATTATGGCTCACAACTTATTCAGCATCAAAATTTGTACTGGTGATAAACCATAGAAGGTCTGAAATCTGTAGGAAGGCTTTTAATTACAGTTCAATTATTCAACATTAGAGAATTTGTCTTGATAATAATCCCTTTAAATAGAATAATGTAGAAACATCTTACTTGTTGACTCCAGCTTATTCAGCCTGAGAAAAATCATGTAGGAGAAACACCCTATGAGTAGAATATATTTTGGAAGTCCTTTAATAAAAGCTTATATTTCTTTTGACATCAGATAATTCAAGCTAGCAAATACTGAAAATCACAGCACTTTTGACACCTTTCTAACCTTATTTTAAACCTCAGAATTCATGATAATATATAATCCTGACATTTTTGTTTTTCCCCCTAATTTGTCTATACTTGTTATATTCTTAATATTTTAACCCATCTTAAATTTATATGACTATAAAGTCCACCTGTTTCCATCACAGTTTGTAAAATACCTTTAATACCTGGAATAAGTGACCTCTTTATTCAAAGATGGCTTATTCTTTTTGTTATTTACAAAACTTCGGATTTCTTGTGAAAACATTGACGAACAACTTTCCACACAGTAAACAGAGATCCCTTCATAGCTTCTTGGTGTTTCCATATGTTGCTGTGATATCATTTTATCAAATTCCTACTGATAGACATTTCCCAGAGTTTCTGCCATTACACACAGTACCCTAATGGAAATTCTCCATAGGCATATCTTTATATCATGTATTTTAATTGCAGAAATAGTGCATGAACATATTTTCCTTTTAAAAGATTTAAACATTACAAATAAGGCAGATACACTCTGACTATCATCCTTGTATGCATTTCCCTTTCTGAAGGATAGTCATTATCTGTTTAGTATTTATGCTTCCTGACCATTTTTCTACGTTTTTATACATATTTGTCTCAGTGGAAACTAAAACGGGATAATGATAATACCTACCTCAAAATTTTGTGTGAGGATCAAATAAACTAAGATGCATAAAGTGCTTAGAATTCTGCCTGTCATATAATAAATATTCGCTGAATGTTGGTCATTATTTTATTCATCATTGCCATTGGTATTATTTGCTGAAAAATAGTTTCTGCAGACCTTGCTGAACGTCAGGCAGGATATATAGTCGAAGAAAGACACAGGGTAATGAATTCAGAAAATTTTCCATCATCATTTCCTATGGAACATGAAATTATCCTAGGTGTTGATGGGGAAAGTAATGTGTGGAAAGGACTTTATTCAGCCTAGCATCCTTTTTGCTACATCATGCAATACCTAATGTAAAAACAAGAATGTAGACAAACCATTTGCAACATGGATGAAAAATGAAAAAGTGTGAAAAGAAACAGCATTATGTTTGAAAAATTAATACACAAAGAGAAACCTTATAGTTAATGATTTAAAATGTTATTGTAGGAGTGCCTGGCTGGCTCAGTTGGTGTAGCATGTGACTCTTGGTCTCGAGGTTGTAAGTTCAAGCCCCACATTGAGTGTAGAGATTACTTAAAATATTTAATAAAATGTTAAATACAGTGCTTCCTGGTATATTTGAAACCTGAACAAAATTATTTTTTTAGGAAAATAAAAATGAATACAGTATTGACTCAGAATTAGAACTCTCAGAAGCCTCATAATCATAAAAACACAGAAAAGGGGAAATTTAGTGTGATATAGTAGCTATTACTACTAATAAAGCACCAAACCAAAAATTTTTTTCAGGCAAAACATTATCAAGTATCTAAGGAATTGTTATATAGAGGTAAACATCTCATAACCACCCAAATATAACCTTGATGTTAGAATAATATTAGGACACCTAAAAACGGAAGCTCATTTTTAGTATCCATGAAGACATATGTGAACATACTAAAGAAACTAGCAAACAGTGGTACCTATTAAAATAATACAAATGAACCTGGTTGCAGCAGTAGCTAAGGAGGATACCCAGTGCCCAGTTCTAACTAACTGATGTGAGGAAATGCAGGCCTCATTTTGCCAGCTCTTGTGACTTTTCGAGAGTCTGGATCTTTTTTTTTTTTTTTTTTTTTTTTTTTTTTTTCAGTGTGTGATAGCTCTTGATTTTTATTTATTTTAATGTTTATTTTTGAGAGAGTGCAAGTGAGGGAGGGGCAGAGAAGGGGGACCGAGGATCCAATGTGGATTCTATGCTGATAGGCTGACAGCAGTGAGCCTGGGGCTTGGGGCTTGAACCCATGAATGGCGAGATCATGACTTGAGCCAAAGTCAGACACCCAACCGACTGAGCTACCCAGGTGCCCTAATAGCTCTTGATTTTTAAATGGTAGCTCAGATTTATCTTTAAAGACACCATGAGTACCAAAGATGTATTGACTGCACAAATAGGCCATAAGTTCCTTTTGTTCTGGACCCTAAAGCTGTGGATGTGCAGAAGGCTTGGAGGAGGAGTTTTTAATAGTGCAAATCCCTTAAATATTTAATATTTAAAATATTTCCAGAGATAACTAGCTAAACTCCAAGTGTAAGGATTTTTTTTAAAGACTTATTCCACCCCAATATTTTCTACATGCAGTTCTTTATTCTAAGCATCATGTCAAATTTAAAAATTGGGTCTATTTTATATGTAACAACAATATCCTATTGTTGATAAATATATACACATACAACTGAAAATTTTTAAATGGCCTATGAAGAGGAAAAATAGCCTGAGCATCACATTTTTGCACTAGCAGCAAACATGTCATTGGAATTCTGTATTGTGTTCTAGATGAAAAGTTAGCAGACTTTCCATAAAGGGCCAGATAGTAAATATTTTAGCCCTGTGAGCCGTACTATTTCTGTAGCAACTACTTAACTCTGCCATTGTGGAAGAGTGTGGAAGGCTACTAAAGTCTTAGATTAAGAATCCTGAAGTTAAGCAAATGTCCCACATTTTAGCTTTGTTTAGGTAGATTAGTGTTTTGAAATAGATCTTTCCTTTGCCTCAATTTTCATGCTCGGCAAGCAGCTTCCTGCATTGGATGGATTCCATGCTTGGAAGGAAATTCCCATATACCCAAAATTACAGGTCTGTTCTTCCATTCCTCACTTCCTTTTTTCTTAGATCCCATGTTAGTAGGTTAAGGGTTTTTTTTAAACATTGAGTTATTTTGTTCCAGGCTTATGCCTGTAAAATATTTTATAATCAACTTAAGAAAAGCGGAATGAGCAACATAGGAGTTTAAGTCATTCATTAAGTTCTTCATCTAAAATTATAGAGGAAATGGGATGCCTGGCTAGCTCGATGGGAAGAGCATTCGACTCTTGATCTCAGGGCTATGAGTTCGAGCCCCACGTTGGGTAGGGAAATTACTAAAAGAAATAAAAACTTTTAAAAAATAAAATGAAATAAAATTACAGAGGTAATGCATTTGCGTTCAAACCAATGAAACAATACTAAAAAAAAAAAAAAAAAAAAAAAAA